ACATCGAGTAATTGGATGAAGCAAGGCACATGCTTGGCTCAACACAGTGGGATGGAAGGACATGTTTGTAACATGGGACACTGCCTGGTTACGCTGAGAGAGCAGCATCGACAACTGGCACGATTGTATGGAAGATTGAGCATGTCAGATAAGAGTGCCATGGAGTTGGTCGCAGACTGCCATGGGGTGACGGACATAAACCTGATCACAGCCTTGGGATTTTGCAGCATGACGAGTTCGATAGAATCGCTCGAGCGCTTGGAGCGTGCCCATGAGCTAGTGACGTCCCTCAGCGTGGAAATATTCCCTGGAGCATTACAGACAGAGCAAAAGATTGGAGGCTGGCGAGAAGCCCTAGAAAATGAAATGAATCTGAAGGATAGTGAAGCCTATCACAGACCTACTGGTTCAAAGTATATGGTGGGTTCAAGCTCCGCGCCATATTGTAATGGCAAGTATCCTACGCACATGGTAGTGATGGATGCGAGGACGCAACAAGTGTTGGTTGACCAACTTTTCTCTGTGCCAAAGTGCGTGAGGTTGGCCAGAATGTCAGAAAGGTCATATGACTTGTTGGCAAAGATCTTTCGGGCAGTCCCGAAGAGATCCGAAGGCGAGTTGCAAGACGTTGTGGGTGAAGAGTTCATGAGACTGAACGAAGGTAACGTGAGTGAGTTCCAGAAACAGAAAGCGAGTGGAGCGTTACCTACTGAATTCCCCACCATAGAAGAGAAAGACGATTTACATAGAATTCTGATGGAAGTGGAACCGTTGCTGGGAGCCTCAGGGTATCGGACCCGAAGGAACATAGTGAGAACCCATGGGGAGTATCCTTGCCACTGCTTGGCGCAGACGTTGTGGTACCCCAAACGCGGGAATCTGATCCTAGTATGGGACGTGGAGGAGTTGTACTCTACGGGGTTGCCCGATCAGAATCAACAAGTGTCAATCGTGGTGGTTAGCGCCATGCTAGCAGTGAGATGGTTGGAGGCTAACGCGGACACAAGTGAGCAGGAGACGGCCGTGCCGACTCCTGAACAGCTGAGCAACGTAAAAATGAGTTGTGAGTTGGATCTTTTCAGAACCACCTGCAAGGTTCTGAGAATACCTAAAGCCATTGAAAGAATATGGTCAAGGCAAAGATTGATGCCTGGGTTCCGTGCAGTGATGACATCTTGGATGTATGAACGCGCGAAGCGTCACATGTCAAGGAACACGGAAGCCTATCAATCTTTCCAGCTAGATACAGGACCAGGAGCCTATAAACGAGCATTCTTGACGCACAGAAACGCGGTCACCACAGCGGTGAAGCGGGTAGCTGGAACGCCTTGTGTTACTGAAGATGAGAAGAAAGAGGTCTTAAGAGCTGACCTAGAACGAAACGTGAGTCTATGTCTTCACAACAGCTTTTGCAGGAACCGGGAGCAGAAGGTGAATGTGGACTTGCTACCTTGTTGCAAACTGAGGCTGTTGGAACAGGAGGGTTGGGGCACGGCCCGCAACTCTCTGGACATGTTAGAGAAAGTCCTGGAAGACAGTGACGCTGAACATCAGGATGGAGAAATGATGGAGTGAAGATGACCAAAGAAGAGAAGAGAAGGAGAGAAAAACTTGATTGTATTTGTGTGCTAAAATTTAAACCAATCAACCAAGTTTTGATTATTGAACTTGTTAAACTTTTTGTTTTGATCTAGTTTGGTCAGACCAAACTTTGAAAATGTTGCAATTGTTAAAATTGTTGAAATTGTTGATTTTAGTTACTACTATCTATGTATGTATATAAGGAACATAGGTGAGTATATTTATCTATTTATTCACGACTGAAGTTTTTAACCTGTGTAAGACACAAATTCACTGTGTGGCGACATGGTAAGTTTGAGTAAACTCGCTCGAGAAGGGTGGGTAACTCAATAACTTTCCTAGCCACAGAGTTTCTTAGTTTTAATATGGAAAGGACCGCACAAATGACTGATTATACTTGGTGAGTAGTGTTAAGTTAATTTTAACGGGTGCGTGGCCGTGCCACGTCCCACTTTTTAATCACAAAGAGCGAAAAGATGTTTTATGGCGAGATGATGTAAGTAGTCAGAAAAGAAATTTTTATCTAGGACACTCCTCATGGTGCAAATTTTGTGAAAATGTTGAAAGGCAGTGAGATGTAGTACGATGCCATTTGTGAACACGTAGTGAGTTGAGGTGGAGTAGATAAATTTCATTTTCTTATGCGATTTGTAAGATTGATTACAGAAAACTGGATAACTACTTGACGATAACCCGGTGTTATGCGATCAATAGGGACATTGATGGAGACTTGTCCGGGGAGTATGTGCCATTCTGCCAGATGACACAGCACAACCTTCCGGCGACATAAAAAAGAGTGACTAAAGGCCTTATGAACAAAAAAGTGTTGCGACGGAGGGTCAGAATGTTCTAGAATTTTTATTTTTAAAATTTCGATTGGAAGAAGAACATTTCTGAGAAATAGAGAAAAGACGGCCATTTTGAATAAAAAAGACGAAAATCAGAACCACGATAGAGATTGTGAAGAACAGTTGTATCAGAGACAGAAAAACACGGAGCCTCTTATCGTGGCAAAAACACACGATAAGGACCTTAGCGACAGATATTTGTGGAGACGGAAGCTTCAGTGGGGGGAAGAGAAATACCACGGAACCCTCCCGGGACACGAAATATAGGAGATAAGAGTGTTATCTCAAGAAAATCACGGGAGCGGAGGCTTGGTCCCCCCGAGACTGTTATATGTGAAGGGACTGTGAAAACTGACCATAACAGCTGCTGTAATGTGCTAGATCTTAATTAAACACCGATATTATTTGATATTTCAGGACATGAGTAGATAGAAAAAGGGAAAGGGTCAATCCATCTCCAATGGATTTAATATAAAACTGTCACACAAAAACATAATAAAATAGGTTGTTCGAGCCGTGTTTTTAATGACAATCACGTAGTCTGAGGATCCGAGACTCAGCTATGTGGTTGTGTTCGCATGTAAACGAAAGCTGATCAAAAGTCGTTTGACTGATGGCCTAAAAATGGTAACTTTTTACTTTGCCCTAGACAGACCAGAAAATCAACTGGCAAGGTCGAGACGGTGAAAAACGAGTAGAATTAAGGTAACTGACGCCTGCCAGTCGTTAATAGGTACTTCTTCTACGCTCCGTCGCTGTGTGATATTTGGGCGAATGTTACAATACGTGCATCATTTAACTTAAGTATTGAGGAGCTCTTAATATTATCATAACTCAGCGCATTAAAGTCACCCATCATGATAATTTTCGATTTGTTAGGTAAAAATCTGATGCTTAATTTCAGGGAATTCAAAGTTGCTCGGAATAAATTGGGTTCGCATAAACGTTGATAACAAACCAATCAAGTTTGACAAACTTTAACAATTGAAAACCTGTACTTGAAGCAATTCTTTTTGCAGGACTCAAACCACCAGAATTATTTGAGCCCGGTATGAAATCGAATAAAACATTATATTTATCCAGTAAACTCAAATGTATATTTGTAAGTTTCGATATTTTTGCTTCCTGAATGCACAAAATGAAACTGGGCGATTTTTTTAAAACTTGGCATTTTTTGATAAGTGAGTGTAATTTAGCTGGATTTCCTATGCTAAAAATATTAACGGAAAAAATATCTGGTTTTTCGCACATAGAAATTTTTGCTAAAACTTCCCTCCAACCAAGTCTTCTCCGTTATTTTTAGATTTCATTTTTGGCCCTTTCTTTCGTGTTAAAACTGACCAAGAGGTTGGTGAAGTTTCACGCTCTCTTTTTGTAAGCATTCTTCCGTCAGAGGAACATTTTCGTTTGTTATTTTCGATATTTAAATTGTCTTTTTTTTCTTTTGCAGAGTAAGAATGAAAATCTACGACTTGATTGTTGAGAACCTCATCCTTTTGTTTTTCTTCGCTTGGAGTAGCTGCACTGTTTGTTTTAGAATCATCAATCGAAACTCCAGATGGTGGTGCTTCAACATTCTTATCTTCTTCATTTTCGGTACCATTACACGTGCGTTTTTTTTATGAAGAAAAAATAGAAACTCTTAAATATGAATTTTCGTTTAGTAGAGATTTTTGACTTTTGAGTTGACACATGCGTGCATGAGAACCTATTTTAAACATCAAAACGTTAAAGTCCAAACGTCAACATTGCTAATATATAAGTTTGAAACTCGAGGGACGTAGTTTGCTGCAAATAGAACAGTCTTTGGTGCCTTGAGACGACGCTACACACAATTATAGTCCTTAAATTTTTAAACCACTTAGTCCCATAAAGGAGTGCAGCCAGTATTTAGACAGCCGCGTATTCATACTGGTCAGTATTTAGACAAATACTGTATGAACCAATCAGAATCGAGAAAAAACATAAATAATCCAAAATTAATAATAATTATTTATTAATTTCTTCTTTGTCTCGATTCTGATTGGTTGAAACAGCATTTGTCTAAATACTGACCAGTCTGAATACGAGGTTGTCTAAATACTGACATGTAACCTCCCATAAACCACTTAAATTCTAGCACTTAATTTTAAATGTTTTAACGCTCATAAGTCGTCTTGATCTGATGTCGTCTTAATATTCTGGGGTCTTATTGACCTTTCACCAGCTAAATTACTAGCGTGTTTTAATCCCAGTATTATCGCAAAAAAAACTAACCATTTTTCTCTCATTTTTTTGTTCCAGGTTGACCTTAATGAAAGTTGTGAAACCCAATTCCACACTATTATAACGTATTTGGTCCAGCTAAAACTGATAGCATTCATCTCATTAAACGAGACGAGTAAAAGTATAACCTTTTTTCGATGTTCAAGTAATCAGCATCATGCTTGGTGCTTCTTCTGGTAACCAGGAATTTTATGAAAAAATTTTACACATAGATCTTCATCATTTTTCATCAAATAAGTTTTTTAACGGTGATTTTCAGTTCCATTTTTTTTCCGTTTCGGTGCTGGCAAACATATTCTTGTCTTTTAGATAGGTTGGAATGGCTGATCCTGACGAAATTCAAGTTGATCCCCCAATTCCAGAAAATGATAGTGAAAATAAGCCCGAGGAGATGTCTTCAGATCGGCCTGGTATGTTGTTTAATCGATAGAACAAGACATTTTTGAAAATTTAATGTCATCGGTTAATCAAAAAAAATATATAGCGTTAATAGTTGTTTTTAGATGAGGTTGCAATCAAAGAAAGAACGTTTAATGATATGTGAAGCTTAACTAAAAAACACAGTCAGTTGACATTGTTATCACTGGCCAGCGTTCGTCCTCTCCTCGGCTTGCTGCACGCTTTCTGCAGAGCTGAACTAAAGTTTTTGTCATCTATTTTTTGTTTTTGTAGATACAAAGCGAACTGGAAGAGGTAGTAGATCTAGCCAGTCAGGTTCAGAAGTAGAAGAGCCAGATGTGGTATGTATTCAGTATACCTAAATCGAAATTATTTATAGAAAGTCAAAAGTTTTGACTATTTTTCTATGATTTCAGAAACCCTACTTAAAAGGAATGATTGGTTTGATAGAGTATGACGAGAGTTCTCATCTCTTTACTCCAGAAATGGACGATTTAATGGACGACTGGATAGAAAACAAAATTAAAAACCGATGCCTATTTGTGTATGTAGACGGAGATGCAATAAAAGTCACAACGGAATTACCTCATAAAACGGTACACTCAATACAGTGAGTAGTTTACGATGATTATTTTTCAATTGCTTAGCTTACCTTAAGAAGTCGTCTTTTATCGGTACATTAATTAAATACGCTAACAACTTGCTTAATAAAATCAGCAGAACCATTTGATAGCTTGCGTTTTATAAATTTCAATTGGGTAACTTCTCCATTATACCTACCTAGAGTAGAGGTAACGAATACACCTGAGACGAAAAGCTAGCTCCTATTACGAATCTGGCCTAAGTGACCTAAAATTGCGTGGGTTGAAGATAGACGTTTAGTTTTATCGTTGAGGGAGTTTTTTGGCGTGTTTTGACGAGGGGGAGCCTGAAAGTTTTGGTATTGACGAGGGGGAGCCTGAAAATTTTGGAGCCTGAAAGTTTTGACGAGGAGAAACCGGAAAGTTTTGAAAGTTTTCATGAAAAAATTTTGTTTTCTGCACAACAGGATTTTATTCAATCTTCTTCGGCTTAGTTGCCGCTCAGTATCAATGTCTGAAGTTTGTTTAACGCCGCCAAATGTACACTGAATCCTCAAAACTCCATTTTTCGAGAGGCGTCAAATTATAGCTAGATGTAACCTAGTTAACTACGCTTGCTGTTATCAATATATCGGAACATAGATTTCTTTCGGGTTAACAACTAGTGTAACAAAATCAGTGTAATCATTTATGATGCTGCTTTGCTGCTAACATGCTCAATTTTATGAAAATTTATGTTTCACTTCTAGCTTCTAGTTACTACTAGCACATGCCATATCTAAATTTCAAGCCATTGTATGTTTATATTTAGATTTTAGGTTTAACTTCCTGGTGATTATTTTTCGGCTCCATGATTGTCGACTTGAGCTCTGTCGGTTTAGTTTCCAAACTATTTAGTCCATTTTGCTCACGCTAAATTTATAGTTAGCGTGCATCTTATGTGGGCGTTAGAAAAAGTTTTTGTTCCGACGGTTTGAAAAATCTAAAGGAATTTTGTATTCGGTTGTTTTGGTTTTTTCTTTTGGTTTCCTTCACAAAATCAGGTACCACACATAATCATCGAAATGGGTCTAGTTACATATCATTTTAAAGCCCTTTCAGTCCTGAGTCGAACGACAAAAAATGAAAATTTTTTCTCAGTGTCGAGAAAAACCGGCTTAAAATTTTTTGAAAAACCGGTTTACAATTATTATAAACCGGTTTATAATAATTTGAGCGTACAGGCTCACAATAGCTTGTGTCAGCTTAATTTAATTTAAAAATATGGAGTTCCACAAAGTTCAGTTGGGTCAGATAAATCGTTTTTCAATGATCTTGAGCTCATGATCAGGTCATAAGAGATAATGTTTTTTCAAGTGAGATTTTGTGATCTGATTACCTTGTAGAGTATATTGTCGAAAAACTTCATTACCCTTGCGATAAGCAAGGGTATTTCAATCGGGTACTAGACTGTTTTCCCGTAAATAACTTTGCTCGCACGTCTCATCTCCTGGATTCATTCATCTACTGGGCTTTTTTTTGCAACAGGCATATTTTGAGCATTTTATCATTTTAAATATCCGGTCAAATCAAAATTTGCTTTTTATGTTTGTTGAAATTTTACCAACTCGATTTGCTATAACTTCATGAGTTTTTTCTGTTTGTTTTTAGCCTTTTTCGGCTTAATAGGTTTTGGCTTTTGTTCAAGTTGTTGCCTGGTTTGATGACCATAAAGTCTTTGTGTGTGTTCTTGGGAATTTTTTTTAGTTACGAATTTTTTTGAATTTTTTCCAGAATGAAGAAGAGTTTGTGCTCAGGCTTTTTCGGCTTTGTTAACGCTTGGTAATTATCAGTTCGATTTCAATCAACCAGTAAGCGCATCTGGTGCAGAGATAACGCAACTGTTTGAGACAGCAAAGGCTTGTATGTTTATAAAGGCTTGTAAAGAACAGGTCCCGCTCGGATTCACCTGTTTTTTGCAAACTAGAGTTTTCTTCTTTTTTGGACTATCATCCGCCTGTTTATTCTTGTCGGTTTAGTTCCCTTAGCCTGACTTTTCTTTGAAGATTCAGCTTTCTTCTAAGTTGCTGTAATACCCATGCTTGAGACGACAAAGTACGGGAGTTCGATTCCAGTCGAGACCTGTTTTTTGCAAACTGAAAAATTTCGGCTAATTTAGATTACGGTATGTATGCTTAATTTTGTCGGCTTGGTTCCGTAAAAAAGATATTCTCAAAACTCTGCTTCTTTATACCATTCTGAAAGCTACTTGTAAAGTTTTTATTTGCGGAGATAATTTTGTTCCGGTTGTTTTGGACTTTTGTTGCAATTTTTGGTAATTTTAATTGAGGTTTTTTTTAATTTTGTTTATTTTTTTTTCATTTGATTTTAATCACAATCAACCATTTTCGTGCCGCAAGTGGTGTGAAATTCAAATACGTCTCTGTGTCGCTATTTTTTTCCAAGATTCTTCGAAAAGCGGCGCAGTGGGTTGGGGGGGGGGGGGGGGGGGGGGGTTGAATATTTGTTTGAGCCAGACAATGAACGGGCGCTATAATGTTCAGGTTCATTTCTCTGAAAAAACATGACGATTTATTTAAGGCAAGATAATTAAATGAGCAGGACAGCAGTCGGCAGAAAAAAGAGACCCAGCCCTATTTGGAATGTTATCAAAAGACTTTTATTTGAGAGGTTAAAAGACCTTTTGAACTAAATACCGTGCTAGCTGGCGTGCTGGACCGTCTTTTTCTCACTATTTCTGATGCCTTTTCACATGAGAAAGAACCTTTCCTTCTATTGCTCAGGTTTTCAGACGATTTATCCACTAGGGAAAGTACCATCATACGAGCTGTTTAGCTCATCAGGGAGAACCACAGTTGTGCCTCGGGTTAAGAACTGCATGCAATTTTTTGGTTATTTTTCTGGGCTTGGTAATATTGCCTCAGCCTCAAGTAACGAGCGCGGATCATGGTGGGCCTCGAACAGACGACTTTTTGATTAAGAGGCGGAGACGTAACCACTTCACCACCGCTCCCTCTGAATTATAGATTAAAAAAATTAATTCTGTTTCTGTAGATATTTCGCCAAAAAAGGAGACGTGGAATTGTTCATGGACAACGTGGAACAGTTTGTCACCCATGGCATCATTCACGTGCCTCACATCGAGAGTCTTCTCAAGCAAATGGTATCATTCTTTTTACACGTTTTTTTTAAAATTTCCCAATGATTTTTTTCATTTGCTGCTTTTTTTGAAGTGTTTTCAGGAATCATCAGCCATAATGAGTTGACTATTTTTAATTATAATACAGCACTTTTCACAGACTTTAGAAAAAATGTTTTTTTTTTTAATTGAGTTTGCGATGTTTTTGTACGTTGTGTGTTCTTTTCTAGAATGGAGCCTTTTCGCCAATGTTTCTCTCGAACAAGACGTGGCCCGACAGCATCAGAAATGATTTCACTTCCCACCTGCAGAGGTTCATGGCCTACTTGACGGACATGAGACATAAGACCGAGGGCCATACCATCCTCTACATCCCCAAAGAGGGCGCAGCTGCCGCGGAGGATGTTGCGGCTGCATGTGCAGACAAAGACTTGGTCCAGCGACTCGAAAGTGAGCAATTTTATTCTTCCGTTATATTCATCTTAATCATACATAAAGGCTTCTCTTTGTCATTCTTCAAGTAAATCGAAAAAAATTATTGTAAAAATTTCTCGATTCCAAAAAGGCCCGTTCGAATATAATAGTTTAAATACATTTTTTCATGCTGTCGGATTGCAAGGAAAATGAAAGATTGTAGACTTCGGTGATTATGTAAAAAAAGAGAATACGTAATTGTTCTGCTTCTTCTTCTCAGACGTCGTCAGGTTCTTTGTTTGCAGCCGTGATGATCCACTGGACGATGCAGTTGAAGGAGGTGGTCTACGCTCAGGACTCGCAGGAGATCACTGAGAACAGTGGACCCCTGGAGGAGATAGAGTTCTGGCGCAACAGGTGTGTGGACCTGAGTAGCATCAGCACCCAGCTGGACAAACCAGAAGTGAAGAAGATCGAGAGCATTCTGGACGCCGTCAAGTCCAGTTATGTGGGACAGTTTCGCAAATACGCTCAGCAGATACAGGTGAAACAGTTTATTCTCTTGATTCTGACCACTTTTATCTCAAGCTCAGTCCACTTTTTTCCTATCCAAGTTTCACATTTCAGCGAAGTTTTGCGCAAATCTGATGCGTTAATTGCGATCTACTTTGAATCCCGTATTGAGTTTTTTATTTAAAAATTTGTTCAAGTATTTAGTTTTCGATAAATTGTGTTTCGGTTCGATTTCTCTGTGTGGTGATAACTGAGTTTTGTTTTGTTTTCAGGATGGTTCTAAACAGTCGGAGAATAACTTGAAGTTCCTGAATATTCTGAAGGAGCCGTGTGATCAGTTGAGCAAGGCCAGTGCCAAGGAGATCCCCCCTATGCTGCCAAACCTGCTCAACCTTATCCGCTTCGTCTGGACCAACTCAGACTTCTACAACACCAAGGAACGCATCACTGGTTAGTAACCCTTTATTTGGTTGGTTCGCTGGTGCCCTGTTAGTAAATCCTTAATACAGATTGATGTACTGGGAAAACATTACTAAAGAACAAGACTGCTTGTATCAGGGCAAAGCCATGAATGTTTGGACAGCCGTTTAAATAATCGAAAAAAAAATAATTGCTGTTTGCGCGTTAATAGCAAAAAATAAATTGCGCGTTAAATGTACCAAATGGGCAATTTTTAAACCCCAATTACTTTACGAAAAATAATCACAGGTAATTCATTTTTTGAAGTTTGAGCCCAGGACGGCGTTACCTTTCAGGTTTTTTTTTCCATCTAATTAGTTTTTACTTTAACTAAAAGTTCACAAAATTGTTAATTTACCAAGTCTGATTTTGAGTTTTTTCTCTTTTTTTTTCAAAATATAAAAAAAGTTTCAGTTTGTTATATCGAAGAATGGAAAATTTTGCGAAAACTTGGAAAACGGCTAAAACACCAGAAGATGGAATTTTTCAAGTCATAACTTGTTTTTTTTTTACAAAGGTTAGGGGGTCGATGCGTCTGCAGGAAACTATTTCACAAGTTTTATTCGATTTCAGCCTTAAGTCATGTTTGGATGTGTAGTTTATAATAAGTCAAAAAAAATCTAAAAAACAGTCAGAAAAACAATAAGATCTGATTCTTTCTTAAATGTTAAATGATGTTTCCGATAAAGTTGTTGCTATAACTGAAAATTCACACAATTGTAAATTAACCAAATCTGACTTCGATTTTTTCTCGTTTATTTTTTGAAGTATTTAAACAGTTTCCGTTTGTTATATCGACTTAGTAAACTTGTATTACGTAAACTTGATGGCAAATATTATCCGTATGCGATTACGTGTTTCAGTTTCGATAGGTCATAAAAAATTTCAAAACTTGAAGTTTTTTATGACAAGTTTTGTTGTCGGCTCAGCAGGTTTCATCCCAAAGTTTGTCGCCTTTATTGACGCTCGGTGAGTGATTTTCAACTGTTTTTAGGGCTGTATGTGAATTTCATCCGATACTGCCATGAATTTTTGTAGCTGTAGTTTTTCCAACTTTTTTCAAGTTATTTTTTGCAAGTAATGTTTTCAACTTGATTTTTCACAATTTTTTGAACTCAGCCTTTTTTCATTTTGTAGCGAAATGTGTAGCGCAATTCAAATTTTTCAAGCTATTTCATTACTTGTTGTTGTGTACTGTCACAGGTTCATCAAAATGAGTTTCATTTTGAGACCAACATTGCAAAATTTTGGGTGTTGTTTTTTTTCGGCGTCATATCAATTTTTACGATATGGCGGTACTCCGTATTGCAAGTCATGCGCGGCTCAGCTTCGCCCCTGTGTACAATTTTGTTTTGTTTCGGTTTTTTCGTTTTTCGTTTGTTCTTGTTGACTTTAATTGACTCATTTTAGCTCCAACTTCCCTCAAACTATCAGATTTATCGCTACACTTACGCTACAATGAAAACACTGCCTTATAGATATTGAAAAAATGTCTCATTCTTGAAAAATGAAAGTGAAAAAACATGACCAAAAACTATATCTACAAAACTTTCAAATGTTTGGCTTGGATGATGTTCGTAAACAGCCTTAAAAACATTGAAGATTGATAACCGAGCGTCAATTAAGGCAAAAAAGTTGGGTCAATGCTCATTGAGCCAGAAATGAAACTGTAGTTACAAAAGTCAAGCTTTAAAGTTTATGAAATCATTAATCTCAAGAACCATTCCTCCTGAAAAAGGGGAAAAGGATTTTAAAATTCGCCCGTGAAACTACGCAACATAATTTGTCTAGGCCAATAAAATGAAACCCAAAACCTTAATTGTTTAACTACTAAAATGGGTGGTGAACAGCGAGTGTGGAGGAGATACCTGTTACTCGTTCTTACCAATGAATTTGAAATTAAATTGGGCAGGGTAGTGGAATTTTTCCGCCGCATGTTCTTTTGATCGAACCCGTGACTATAAAGCCGCTTGTTTCGGCACGATTCTCATAACCAGTTTTTTCGATTTAACTCTAAATCTCAGAACTCTAAATCTCCGAGAAGAAAAAATCTCCGATTTAACTCTAAATCTCCGAGAAGAAAAAAAATGTTTTGCAAAAAGTTGGAAAACGGCAAAAACATCCGAATGTGGAAATTTTAATGTCACAACTTGTTTTCTTAGAAAGGTTACGGAGTCGATGCGTCTGCAGGAAAAAATTTCACAGCTGTTTTACTCGGTTTCAGCCGTAACGCAGATTTGGAAATGTAGTTTATAATACGTCAAAAAGAATCCAAAAAGTAGTTAAAAAATCAATAAGATCTGAGTCTTTGGAATGTTATAGCTTTGTTCTACAAAAATAAGGGCGTACCCTTTCATGCAGTGAAAAACCTCACAATTTTTTTTTTCGATTGAAGCATTAATCTAAAAATTGTTGGGTAGCTTCGAGCAAAGTCAATGTTTACGAAAAACTTTCAAAAGCTCAAAACTTGACTTTCTTTATGCCCTAAATTTTTTCCTGGAATTCTTACGAGGAGTACCTACTCATGCAGGGAGCGTCCCACGTCATTTTTTCATATTTAACCTAAAAGTTTGGGAGGGTAGTTTTTCAGAAACTCGAAAAACGGTTGAAAAATCAAAAGTTTGACTTTGCCGAGAGCCTGAACTTTTAACGTAAAATTTGTTGGGGATTTTTTCAGAACCTGTTTGTTCGATTGAACCTAAGTTCTCATCTTTGAGAAGAAGATTTCGAGATAAGACAGAAAGATTCAAAAACGGTAAAAAAAATTGATTCTTATTGAATGCTATAACTTGCAGAGTAACAAAGTTGGACGTAGCTGCTTATGCAGGTTTTTTTTTTCCTACAAACTGTCATTTCGGCTGAACTCAAAAGCTTAGAGTTAAAATAGTAATTTTTAAGAAAATGAAAAGTTCCATAAACTTTGGTCAAAATTTCCTCCCACACAATTTTTCGAAGGCTATAGAAAGTTGGGTGAGATAGAAAGAGACTAGGAGATTATGCAGGCAGACAGGGGAGTGGGCGATACTTTGACTGGAAGTAATTTTTTTAAGGTCAGTACGGTAGTTTTTGAGAAACATGAAAAGTTTTGAAAAATAGGAAAAAAAATGTCCAATTAGTTTTTAAAATGTTGAAAAAACAAATCCCATATATTTTCATACTATTTTTATCGAACAGAAATTGATCGAATCAAAATTCAAAAAACCCAAGCTTTGTGAATCAACTTATTGGAAAACGTACGAGGTAATAATTTTCATTAGAAAAAAAAACAAAATATCAGCCGACAGAAATTAGGGGCGGTTTTTCAAAACTTTTCAAAAATTTGGTCGTTATTTTTTATGTTGATCAAATTGATTTTCCGAGCACTACCTGAACACTAAAAAGACCCTATTTTAATCAAAATTTTTGTAATGCAGGAGAATTTTTTCGAAAAAATAGGTCAAAACAGCCGTTTTTAGGCACTTTTTGGAAAATGTTGAGCAAAAGTTTGCGTTTTTTGCGACGCGCGCCTTTAGAATAATAATTTTAGGACCTAAAATGGATGTCATAAAATAATATCAAAGAGAGACCCTTTGGTTAATGAGAAAATCGAATCCACTACCCCCTCCTCCCAAAAATCCGCCCCTGGCTGTTATTGACGATTTTTTTGTTGATTTTTGATGTAGAACTTTTTATGTCAATTTTTTTTCAGCTAAAGAAAGGTTCAAAAAACTGCATCCTTTTTGTGATGTTTTTTGTGTAATTATGTCTTGTAAGGTAATTTGCGTGTTTCTGTAGGTCTTCTGCGGAAGCTGAGCAATGAGATCATCCTGAGGTGTTCGAAGGAGATCCACTTGGACAAGATCTTTGAGGGCTACTGCATCACCTGTGTCAACACCCTCAACCAGGCCATAAACTGCTGCTCCCAGTGGAAGCAGACCTACGAACGGGTCAGCACATGATATAATTGACATGATTTTATAAAATTAGCTATGAAATTTCCCTATGGGTTCCTGAAGGGCTTAGTAAAAAGATAGTTGCGTTATGAAGTTTTATAGAGGAGTTTTTCAGACTAGCGAAGTACATTCTGGCGTCGCTCGCATTGTAAGAGTCTCTTTTAAAAAACTTTCATTCTCTGTCTTCTCTATCTCTATTTCTTTACCCTTGCGGTTAGCAAGGTTGTTGGAACCGGGTACTAGACTTTTCCCCCGGAAATAACTTTGTTCACGTGGTCTCCAATTTTACTTGATCTTCCAATCTGTACTTTCGTCTCTTCGTCAATCAACAGGCTTATTTTGAGCATGTCTGTATTTAAAATTCCCAGTATATTCGAAAATTGTCAATTGTTGGTTGTAAATTTACCAACTCCGATTTGTTGAAATTTCATTTTTTTTTGCATTATTGGCTTTAGAGTTTTCGGCTTACGCTATATCAATTTTGTGGCAACATATTGCGCGAATTTTTGTTGTTTTGAAGCTGGGGGCTTAAATTTCTTTTTTTTTAGTTTCAAGTGTTTTTTTAATGAAAACAATTGTTTCGGCTCAAGGGGTGTCTGCTAAAGTATTGTCGGCTTTGTAAAAAAATTTTCAAATCTTTGTTGCAGTGCGCTTATTTAACATTAAAGTGTCCTATTTTTCTCAAAAAGTACTTTTTTCATGACAAGTTGCGACAAACATAGGAAAAATATGGTAGATTTAGTTTTTTCGATTGTGGTTTTCGTTAAAATTTTTGTCGACTAATTTTTCATGCTATGTTTTATTTTATCGCAAGTGGCGTTAAGCTCTGGTTCGCGTCTGTGTAAAAAGTCTGTTCTTCTTAGGTGATACCAAAGAAACCGAGCGCCCATGGATTCTAATCGATTATAATGAAATCGAGTTTTTTTCCAAGATAATCCTTTATAATCGATTATTTTTAAAATGAAAATCTATTATAATCGATTATTTTTAAAATGAAAATCTATTATAATCGATTATAATCGATTTCATATTTTAGAACTAAATTCGAATTTTTTTGCAGCAAATTTGCAAATTTTACAAGAAGTTTGCAAAATGTAATCCATGTCTTTTATTGAATGTCATGTCCCAACGTCACCCCTTAATTTAGGGAGGAGGTGTCAATCATTAGGGTGCCCCTACCCCAAAGTCTACCTAAAAAAATTCCCCCATCTTCAACCATGATGGCACTTGAGGTAAACTGGCAGGGAGGGGGTAAACGAGGGGGGTGTAAATTATAGGGGGTAAAGTAAAGAGGGGTGTATACTGAGATGAATTGAAAAAGTTGAGACAAAAAAATATAATTTTCAATGTGAAGTGATACGTTTTATGAAACGTTATACGTAGCAACTGCACTAAACAGGAATTGAGATAACTTTGAAAAAAAATTGTAAATTTTATGTTTAACCCTTCAAAAAAATCCATTATAATCGTTTATATTGGCATAGAAAATATAAGAATTATAATCCATTTTTAATGGATTATTATCAATTATACTGGACTGTATTGACATGGAAAAAAATAGGATTAGAATCTATTTTTAATGGATTATAATTGATTATTTTGTAATTTTATAGATACTGACCGTATTATGACAATATAATCGATTATAATCCATGGGCGCTCGGTGCGGCAGGTAGATATCTGTTTTGGTAGCGTTTATCCCCACAACTCCTTATTAACTGAAAGAAATCCAAATTATAAGCATACACAATAGCTTTGAAGTTTTTTTCCGACTTTCATAACGAAAGTAACGGAATATTTGTGCTCGGGGTCGTTTTTTTTTCTTCAGACAAATTTCGACTTTTTAACTAGCCATTTTTGACAGAATTTTTTGTATCATTCAAAAGGTATTGTTGTCCTAAGCTTAAATTTGAAAAGATATTTCACCTGCGATTTATTTTGTGATTTTTATGGGGGTTTGGAGATTGCAGTTTTGGCCAATTTGGGACAATTAACGCGCGATATATTTCGCGCTATTAACGCGTTAGCGGAGATTTAATCTGTCTTAGAAATCGTTCTTAATTGGTCGATAGAAGCTTATCTGCCATAATTGATGTGTTACTAGGGGCGAAATCTATCACTTTGTACTTTATATGGCGTGTGGGGGGGATGATTTTCACAAAAAATCACAATTTTTTTTTTAATTTTTAAAAACTTTCTCATTTCATTTCTTTAGAGTTTTATTTTTTAATGTTATTACTGCTCTATAGACCTTAAAAGGCAATCGGAACATTCAGGGCTTCGCCCTGATACAAGCAGTCTTGTTTTTTTTTTGCTCATGGTGCGCTTTTTAGGTTCTTTATTTGGATCGCGCATGATGAGCTAAACACGCGTGTCTTGGTATTTTTACTAGTGGATAAATGGTCTAAACTAATCTGATTTTTTTCCAACTTATTAAAAGACAGCTAACTCTAAATGATGTTCTTCTTTATTGCAGGTGTCTAAGGCACACCAGACAGTGACTGGACAAGAGTGGGTGCTGGACAAGACCAGTGTCTTCGCCCAAATAGAAGCCTTCATCCAGAGATGCAGGGACCTCATCGAGGTACCACTGATTCCATAAGCTCCACTGACACACATAAAAAAACTACACTTAAATTTATACATGGCAAGCTAGTGAATGAATCTGGCGACACGTTGAAATTTCTGACCATGAATGTGGTCCATAATGATAAATCACTACATAAGGAGGATCTAAAATTTTGACTTTTTAGAAAACAATCTTATTGTTTTCTGGTGATAAAGCGCCACTGTCGCAACAAACAGTAACCTTGTGTTACAATTTTTGATGATGAAACGATTTAATGGAATGGCGCTTAAGAACTGAAAAGATTGTTCATATTTTTAGGTGTGCGAGTGCCAGATGCACTTTGCGCGTTACGAAGACGGACAGCAGACCAAGATGCCTATCTTCCCTGGCCAGAGGGGTCCAGATGTAGTGAGGAGTCTGCAAGAGATTGAGCACACCTTCAGAAGGAACCTTGTCATTCTCAAGGTAGTTGCTTGTCAAACTCGTTGTTGTGTGTTTTGTTTATAGCTACATTCTGATACTGGAATAAATTTAGGTAGGTATCAGTTTCTTCTTTTAGCTTACATAGTAGATATTGTTAGCATCTAGATAATCTTAGATACTCACTGTATTTTTCTCATACAAGCTGTCGAATAACACAGCAAAAAGTTAGCATTTCCCCCAATTTTTTAAAGATTCTTCTGACAATATCAACTTTTTGGAATGCTTAGTTAAATGATCCGATTAAAAAGATGAATGAACGAGTTGACGTGGGTCGGAGGAGTAAAATCATTTTTTTAAAAACTCAGAATAGTTTTTCGGAGTTGTCCCAAAATTTAACCAAATATGGAGATTGCGAATTGTTTTCAGGACATCAAACACACAATCTTGGACGTGAAAGCGACTTCGTGGCACGACGACTACAACAAGTTCCGAAATGGAGTGAAGGATTTGGAGGTGATGATGCAGAACACAATCAGCAGTGCCTTCGAGGCAGTCAGGACCGTGGAGCAGGGCGTGGACCTACTCGACATATTCAGACACCTATCTACACGCGAGGTACTGCCTACGATTCCAATCTCAGTCACTTCTAACTTCTCACTTAAATATCAGTTTTAAGGTATCAGAAATGATTTCACAAGAGTCTGACTCAAGCTGAAATGTGATTGTTTTGTAACGGGGTGTTCAGTCATTGTACAAAGTTTTTCTACCAATGCATAGACAATTTTCAAACTCTAAAAAATGGAAAAAAGCGACGATGCAAAAAATAGGTATTTGTTCTTTAGAGGTGTTTTTAAACATTTTTAATCCAATAAATTTGAGCTAACAAAGTTGGAAATAAAACCAAATTTTAATTACTCTATCAAAGTATAATTTATCTTTTTTAGACTATCAAGCGTACCCTGGACAAGAAAGTGGTGGAGGTGGTCGGAATGTTCTGTGAGGAGATGAACAAGGTGAAGAAGGAGCTGAACAACAAGAGGCCCTACCTCTCACTCCAGTACCCTAAATACTCTGGACAGGCGCACTGGATCAAGGCACTCAAACGAAGACTGGACTACAACTTCAAGGTCAGTTTTCAATCATAATTAAACAGTGTGTGATCTCTTTTCCCGGCTCAAACATTGTCAAAACTTATTCCAAAACGCTCTCTAACGCTTATCATTTTCAAGTGAAACGCATGCTCGCGGCCGGATTACAAGGACAAAAAGTTGCATTCTTAATGCCCCAGTAGAGAGCTCAGAAATTTGGTTTGATTGTCCTACAAAATCGACTAACGATTCCAAAAATTCCATTTCCCTCTCGAGAAAGCCTAGATCCCCATCACATTGTCTTGATCTTTATTTTTGTTAGATGAGTAGAACCTGGGGCCAAATTTGTGCTTGTTTTTGTAATGATGCGTGTTTGGTTTTAGGTAATCGAGGCAGCTTTCTTTGTGAACGAAACTCCCGTGTTCGAAGAGGCTAAACAGACTTATCTGCAACTGACGAGCAACCTAGACGACACAGTGAGGAAACACTTTACAGAGTGGCAGATGTTGGCTGAGAAGGAGATTGGCAAGGGCAGCAAGAACGACGCCCACAAGAGACTGGAACAGCCGCTGATGATCAGGTCACACGACAGACACGGCATGATAGAGGTCAACTTTGACAGGTGACTTCTTTCGCTCTCTACCTTTTTAATGCGTTCGTTCATTTGCGCTTCGACCAATTATTCCATGTACATCTTATAACGACTTATTAATACTTAAGAAGGATAGCCGGTTACTGTGCAAGTAGCACTGAATGTTCCGACCATAGTCTTAAAAAACATACAAATTTTGTTTCAAATGATTGCCGTTTTTCTTCGGCAAAGTGTGATAAAAGGAGCTGAACAAAAAACTGGAAATTAGGTATATTTGACACTCATAGTGAAATAGCCAAATTGTAAAACAACTTTTGTTGTAGAGTTACTTGAAAAACGAAAAAATCAAGAAAGAAATTTTCGAAAATTTTTTCAAGTTTTGCAGTTTTTTGAATTTTTGAAAATTTTAATTCCAAAAAGTCGCTAAAATACTCAAATTAAACTAACGTTATTCGAGTAAAACTAAGTTTCTACGTTTTAAATTAAGCTATTGTAAGCTGTTAAGCAATTAGAACAAGACTGCTCGTATCAGGGCAAAGCCCTGAATGTTCCAACTGCCTTTTCAGGTTTATCGAGCAGCAGTAACATAAAAAAACTAAATGTAATCAAAAAAAGAAATTTTTTTTCTCTAAAATTTGAATTTTTTTATGAAATCATCCCCCCACACGCCATATAAAGTTTAAAAGAATAAATTTCGCTCATTGTAACAAAACAATTATGGCAAATAAGCTTCTTTCAACCAATTTGGAACGATTTCAAAGACGGATTAAATCTCCGCTTACGCGTTAATAGCGCGAAATATATCGCTTAATAGTCCCAAATTAGCACTAATGGCAATCTTTAAACCCCCATAACTTTACGAAAACTGATCACAGGTAAAATATCTTTTCAAATTTAAGCTCAAGACAACAATACCTTTAGAATGATATAAAAAATTCCGTCAAAAATGGCTAGTTAAAAAGTCGAATTTTGTCTGAAGAAAAAAAAACCCACCCCGAGCACAAATATTCCGTCACTTTCGTATCAAAAGTCGGAACAATAAGACTGCTCGCTCGCTTCTTTCGCTCGAAATAAGACGAAAAATCAAAAGTTTCAAACCGGTTTTTCTCGATACTGGGATTTTTTTGGAAATTTTTTAATGTGGTTCGAATCACGACCGACTGTAAGGGCTTTAACATGATATATCACTCAACCCAGTTCGATGATTATTTGTGGTACCTGATTTTTCATGGAAAACAAAAAGAAAAAAAGAAAATAAAACTAAGACACACTCGAATACAAAGTTTCTCCCCATTTTCAATGATCGGTACAATAATGGCCTTGTGTCTACTATACGATCAGGGAGTCTAATATTCATCGATTAATAGGGGGCATTTAAAAAACTGATTTTTTATAATCTCTGCTTAAATGTTTCTAATGTTCAATAACTAGCTTAAAACTTTTTGCTTTGCCCCTACGCAGGATTATCTTTCTGAAAACTACTTGTCGACAGAAACCCCTGGATGTCATGTAGACCTCCTGGAGTATCTTTTCCTTAATATTTAATATGTTAATTTTTGGTTTTATTGTGAAAAAAAAAGGTTTAGTTAGCTAACTAGTCATATCGCCAATAAGTTTCAAATGTACATGCATTAGTTTTAAGTAGCGTTTCAGCCTCAATCGGATACATAGACAAATATAAGGATGACAGTGCCAAAAATAGATTGTGTGGTGTGTTGTTTTAGGTTCCTGCAGAAGCTGTTTGTAGAGGTGCACTACTGGCACCGACTGATGTTCGAGGTGCCCCACTATGCGGGCGAGGTGTACCAGAAGAGAGACGAACTCATGAAGCTCAGGGAGCAGGTCAGATCTACTGAACATACCTTTGTTGTTCTTAGTCTATCAATCAGTCTGCCTCTTTGGTCTCTGGTTCAAGGAACGTCGACCACTGACCCATTTTAGACGTTCCGAAACAAAAAACTTTATCACTTAGCAGACTTCTGGTTTTTTTGGCGTTGCAGAATAAAAAAAGCTAATTTCCTTCTTCAAGAGACAAATTTTCAATTCCTACTGATTAGTTTTCAGTTTGGAGATAGAGCTTCAGTCATTTCTGGATTTGTTCCCAGGTGCTGTTTGTTGTGCTGGACTACAACCGAGTTGTGTCTGCGCTGACAGCCGAGGAGAGGTCACTGTTCAAAGAGAGGATCCGGTTCCTGGACAAGAAACTCCACCCTGGACTGACCAAGTTGATGTGGGTCACCAAAGGAGTGTCCGAGTTCTTCATCAACGATTGCAGGAAAAACATCGCTTCCGTTAGTTTGTCTTTCAAACATTTTTTTTGTTTCAGTCAAATCGTTTTAAATTAGGTGGGAAAAGTTATGTAGAAAGCTGTTGGTATCGCCATTATTTGGCATTTTGGGAGCAATTTTAATATTGCTTTACTGGCCAATATTCATATGTCGATTCTAGTTATTTTTTTATCACCTGTTGTTTTTTTTTTTTCTGTAGATCCAAAACGTGGTGGACGAGTACAAGTTCAACAACATGAACGTGAGTGCCTCGTGCAAGAAGATCTCAGAACAACTGATGGTCGTCATCAGGAAGGACATCTACTCCAATCTGGAGTTCGAGGAGGAACAGGCAGCTCATCAGAAGAAGGTGGCAGCCATCCTCAACGCGGAAAGGAGTGAAGTTGTGAATTTCTTGCTGAAGACAAACGAGTACTTCAGACGAGACGGACCTGACGTCAGTTTAAATCTTGCAATATACTGTACAAATTTGAGTTCACTGCGTCCATTCAATCTTCTTGAACAGTTTTTTGTTTTGAGCTAGTATCGCCATTTTAGAAAAATTACATCATTATTAGGCAGCATCTTCCGCTAATTGATGATGTTGATATTTGTACTTAAACAGCTATCTGTTTTTACAAGGTCCAACAAGGATTCTTCAATTACACTGACAAAATGGATCGAATGGTTGAAGAGGCGTTCCGACTCAACATTAAGTGGTCCCTGCAGGAATTGTCCAAGGCCATCAACGGAGACGGAAAAACTCCGCCCAACCCCCTCTTCAAGGTCAAACTAGTCCTCGAGGACGACCAGAGAATCGAGTTCGATCCCACTCTTAAAAAGCTGCACAGCATCGTGAACAGCATCGGACCTCAATTGATCTCGAAGCTGCACAGTACACCTAGGTTACCTGACGTTCTCTCGAAGTTCAAGAGTTCGAAGCCTCCCTTGACCGAAGTGTTCGAAAACGACAACGAGATTAAGAAGCTGCAGAAGACTATTGCAGACGGTATGAATAAGAATTCGGTGGACATCCATGAGTACCTGGTGAGGTGGGATGGCTATCGAGAGATCTGGGAGATTAAGAAGGATATGTTCATCAAGAGATATCAGAGACTCAATCCTTCCGTCGCTTCATTCGATGGTGACATCGCCAGGTTAGAAGTAAAAATTATTTGTTCTGGTTTTTAGTAATGGTTTATCACTCAGCTTTTTTCTCGTGTATTCAATGGCCATAGTAAAAAAAAGTAAATGGTTATGAAAAAACTTTTTGAGGGAAACATGCCGAATGCGACAGCTCGTTGCATCATAACTTTTCTAATAATTGCTCTTTTCTTTTTATAGATACAACGAGGTGTCGCATTCGGCCCAGAAGGAGGACACTATCACCAACATCAGCTTCATCATGCTGGACAGTAGTCAGCTGAAGAGGGCCATCCAGGAGCACTGCAAACTGTGGCAAGACAAGTTCACCACTCTGCTCAAGGAGATCGCCAGCGAGAAACTCAACAACTTGACTGAGTTCTTCGAACAGCACTGCGAAAAGTGAGTTCAGTCCATACGCACGTCAGGACCCTCTCTTTTTATACTTGTAATCCCAGCGGTCATTGATTCATCAATGCTAGAATATTGAGATAATGATTTATGAATAAACAAACATCGTGGAATCTTGGGATTTCTATCTGGAGGCACGTTTCTTTTCTTCATTTTGTTCACTTTCTTCACAGTTGTTCACTTTTTGAGACCTCAAACTAGTAAAATCCCCAGCTAGGTATTTTTGGTCTGCTGATGGTAGAGGATTAAATGTATATGTCTGCTCTCTGATCAAACTTTTGGATAATAAAAGATTGGGATTATGGCGTTGGGTGCAGTACTACGACAACTCGCAACAAAAGACCCCGGGTCGAGATCCCGCTCAAAAACCGCTCAAGATTTGAGCGGTTTGAGCGGTTTTCCAGCAAGATTTGAGCGGTTTGGGCGTACGCTCTCAATGTTTGAATATTAGTCACAATAGCGGCATTGGCAAGTAACGACCGCGTGCTCCGGATGGTATAATGTGCTCGAATCAGTGTTGAGGCTAGTCTTAGATTGCAACGAAAACGGTTTCATTACGAGGCCAAACTGTGCATTTTGTGCTTTGTAAGCGGATTCAGCAACAAGGACGCTCCCTTTGTTCTTCTTTTGTTTTTTAATTTCCTTTAATCGTTCCGACAAAATTTTAACAAGTTGTTCGATGTCTTTTGTTGCGAGGTTGCGTATGACACTGCTGTTGACTGGTGTCGGCTACTTTTAATAAAAGGCATCAATTTGGTAGAAATTTGGCCGAAAAAACTCTCTGTCGGGGAATCGAACCCCGGTCTCCAGAGTGACAGTCTGGGATACTCACCACTATACTAACAGAGATCTGGTATGAGTTACCATAGCTTCGTTGGTGAGCTCAAACTCAATATAAACTGCAATCATAACAAATCGAAGCGGTACCTGCGCACATTTGTCATTCTAAAGCAGCATTTTACATGTTTCAGAAACGATGAATATGTCTGATTAACTATTAATGTAAATGTAATTATAAAAGCAACTAAATGTTCTTTTGTTTTCATCAATACTTGTTTGAATGCTCATGGTTCGGAAACATTCGTCGGGGATAGGGCTTGAAAACTTGTGTGTCGATATCCTTAATAAAGCTGCGCCGGCAGTTCTAATATGTCTGACTTTTGTATCTAGATTGCGACAGGATCCGGCGGACTTGGAGGCGCTGGGAGATGCGATCAAGCTGCACGAGCAGTTGCAGGGCGAGAGGGACACTATAGAGGGCATGATATCCCCCATCCAGGACCAGTTCGCTATTCTGGAGAAGAACGAAGTGGCCATTCCAGAGGAGGTTAGTAGTGGACGGGTCTATATTCATCAGAGACTTTTCTACCCTGAAAACAGTCATAGTTTTCGATTCAATAGCCTTACCTTTTTATACAGCCAGGCTAATGATTGTGGTTTCTGCGATTAAAAATAACAGATTTAAACGGAAACACTCAATTGTTTTTTTTTTTTTTACAAATTAGGCCTACAAAATTGTTTTCGATCATTGGGAAAAATCAAATTAGCCATCGTGAGACAATTTAAAGATTGATATTGAACCAAATTTGTTTTCCATATAAATTTTTTCAACTCTTGAGTTGAAAAAAAAATCAAATTTTGCTTATACCTTTCGAAAACTCATCAACACCATTTGGCTTATTGACAAAAAAAAGTCTGATCTTCTTTGATTTTTGAAACCCATCTCATCTCATGTGTTTCAGACTCGAGAGAAGCTAGACAATCTGTCAAACCACTATCTACTCTTCCAACAAGCACTGCAGGAGGCGGAGACTATAATCAAGAAAGCGAAGGACAGATTCAAGTCGGATCTGATCAGCAGTGCCGAGGAGTACAAGCGAAAAGTGGCCCAGTTCGTGGCCGACTTCTACTCCAACGGACCCTTCAGTGAGGAGTGGACGGCAGGGAATGCGCTGGATAAGATCCAGAGTTACAGAGACACTATTGCCAGTACTAGAGTGGACGAGACTAGAATCAGGAAGGGGCTCGCTATTTTCAAGATCGAACAGCCGCCGTCCAAGGAGATCGCCAATATGGAAAATGTGAGCCTAGTTTTCCTTGTTGGATGTTTGATTATGATCAAGTTTGTGTGACTTTGATCACAAATTAAAAAGTTTATACATTTTTAAAAATTGTTTTAAAAAAGTTGGCAAATAGTATTGAAAATGAGTGCCTGAGATTATCATCTATAGTTGGTAATTCAATATCCTTTATGAACTGCATTAGGATCTGAAGACGCTGGACAGTGCATGGCAGATGACGAAGGAGTGGGAGGACAGCTGGAGTGGGTGGAAAGTGAGTCACTTCAGAGACATCAATGCGGACCAGATGGAGACAGGCGCCCAGTCGCTCTTCAAGAAACTGGCCAGACTCGCCCGCGAGATCAAGGTGAGGTCAAGGTCATACCACACCCTATAACAAGTACATTGAAACATGAAACTACATTACACGCGCGATCTTATTCTACTAAGGATCGAGGTCACCGTATAAACATGCTTAGAACTATATCAAAGTGAGTTCAGTTAAAGTTAAAACCACAGCAGAAACAAATCCTTGATTGCAATTGTCCGAGGAATCATTGGCAGAGTAGGTAAATTCAGTAACAACTTAAGAAATTGACAAATTGATTACATGCAGCGACAAACAAAAATGGATAACAGCACTCTTGTCATTAAACTAGTAACTTTTAACTTCCAGTAACTTTTAAAAATCAACTTATCCTTGAAAGATTTTTTGCAATGCGTTCGTAAAAATTATCAAAAAATTGTAATACTATGGTACAATTGTCACAGAGAAACTATTTGAAAATTCACAGATAGTATCAATTGTGTTTTAATGCACAGATAATAGTTGTTTGTCGGGTAGAGATTATTCTTCATTTTATGCCAGTTTTTAGGTGATTTTAAAACTCTTGTAAAAATTCCACAAGAGATGTCGCTATTTTTGTACTCGCTAACAGCATCTGTGAAAGAAAATTTTGTAGACAAAATTAAAAAAAGGCTTATTTTTCCAAGGACCGCAACTGGCCAATTGTCGAGACCACCAAGAAAAAGGTGGAGCAGTTCCGAAGGACCATGCCGCTGATCACCGACTTGAAAAACGACGCCTTAAGACCCCGTCACTGGACCCAAATTCAGGAGACCGTTGGGCAGACATTCAACCACGAAGAGGAAAAGTTCACCCTCGAACTGATAATCGGGTTCGGATTCGACTCTCACGCCGAAGATATTAACACAGTATCAGGATCTGCGAGCAAGGAATTGTCCATAGAAAAAGCCATAAATGCCATAGCTGAGTTGTGGAAGGAAACTAAATTAGATCTAGGGCCATACAAAGACAAAGGACATTTCAAGCTCAAGTAAGTATCCATGACACACATGAAGGTCATAATCAAATGAAAGCAGAATGTTCATCTTATAATATCCAGTCAATTATTGTCTAGATATTTATGACTTTACTAGAAACAACATTGGGTAACTATTGTGTTACAATCTTCGACATTTCGTGTTACATTTTATGCCTAAATGTTTTTCGTATGTTTTCATTAAAACAGCGAGTAAGTGTTTTCATCTGTATTCACATCAAATAAACCATTTCATCATAACTTTCAAATCATTATAGCTCGTAAATTTTGATTGGCGGTAGTAATTTATTGTTGATTTTGCTTAATTTCCAGGGGAACTGACGAAGTGTTCCAGTTTCTGGAGGATAACCAGGTGCAGTTGAGTACGATGAAGGCGAGCAAGTTCGTCAAGGCCTTCGAGGACCAAGTGGACTACTGGGAGCGGACTCTCTCCAAGATCCTGGAGGTCATCGAGATCACCCTCACAGTGCAAAGGCAATGGATGTACTTGGAGGTATGTAAATAAATCGTGACTCTTCCTTATAGTCTTATGATGTCACTGACGAAGAACGTTCTAGAAAATAGGCGTAAACGTTCTAATAAACAGTTATTTCAATTTGATTTTATGCTTGTTTCAAACTAAATTGAAATTGGTTGTGAATGACGATTCGACTATAATTTTGCACTTTGATACGATACGAACGAACTTCTGTCGTAAGGATAAATATCTTTGATTCTTTCAGGACTGATTGTTCTCATAGTTTTAAAATAGGTATGGTCTGTTTTTTACGCTGTGGTGTTGGGTTTTGTCGAAGAATCCTTGCGATCGAGTTTTCATATCAAAACTGCTTCGCTTAATTGTCAGTGAGGATAAAATTCGTTGAACGGTTGTTTAATGATGTTTGCTCTGATTGTTCTAGAACATCTTCGTGGGAGAAGATATTAGGAAGCAGTTGCCGAAGGAGACAGCCGAGTTCGACATGGTTAATAGTGGCTGGAAGGAAATCATGACCCGAATGAACGACAATCCAAACGCCAAAGAAGCCACTCACCACCCTGGTTCGTCGGCTGTTGTTTTTTTTTGTTTTGAGACAAGCGAAGCTTGTGCTGTAGTAGCCGGCAATTTTTTCCCAATGCAAATTGCTCATTTCATAGTCAATGTCAAACTGTTGGCAATACCAAAACTTTGAGCATATTATCTGGTCGAAAAGTAGTGCTTTTTTGGTTAATCAGGTTTTTTAAGCTCTAAGTCTGTGCTGAATTAAAAAAAAAACAGCTTTGAACGTCAAACGAGCAATTTTCTGACATTGAAATTTGTTAAGATCGAACTTGCCTAAACTTGCCGAAATAATGAATCGATTTGATATTAATTATATTAAGGAGTTTTTTTGTACTTTTCATTAAACTTGCCGAAATGAATATTGCTATCGATTTGGTATTAATTATATTAAGAAGTTTTTTTGTACTTTCATTGAACTTGCCGAAATGAATATTGCTATCGATTTGGTATTAATTATATTAAGAAGTTTTTTTGTACTTTCATTGAACTTGCCGAAATGAATATTGCCATCGATTTGGTATTAATTATATTAAAGAGTTTTTTTCTAATTTTTGTACCCAAGATAAGCTATTCCGGTTGATATAAAGTACACTATTTTCTGCACATATTTTTTCTGCACGCATAATAGTCTGTGGTTTTTAAATAAAATGTACTCAGTTGTGTTTTTGATTGGACTTGTCTAGTGCAATTTCAAGTCCCTGTAAATTAACGTGTGAAGTGGTTGACGAGAATTCAAAAGTGGCAATACGTATTTTTTCATTTAGTTTTTTGTTCCGACCACTTCATGAAGTGATTGGGTGGAATTATGGCGTATTTTGAATTTTCCAGTTGGCCTAATTACCGCAAGGAGAGTTTCTAGGTGTCAAGTATGGTATCTTGATAAAGCACTGTTGGTCATGGCGCAGATTCAAAGAAGAGTCTCAGTCAGGCGCGGATCTAGGATTTTCAAAAATTTAGTCGACATTTTTTAGATTGACACCAATTTGATTTTCCGAGCTTTATTAAAACTCTAAAAATATCTCCGTTGCCAAAATATCTCCGTTTCTAGGTGTCAAGTATGGTATCATGATAAAGCACTGTTGGTCATGGTGCAGATTCAAAGAAGAGTCTCAGTCAGGCGCGGATCTAGGATTTTCAAAAATTTAGTCGACATTTTTTACATTGACACCAATTTGATTTTCCGAGCTTTATTAAAACTCCAAAAATATCTCCGTTGCCAAAATGTGCTGCGCCTCAGGCGAATTGAAAAAAAAAACAATGCAATTATTGGGCTTATTTCTCTTTTTGGTAGCTTTTGACCAAAAATAATATTTTTGGTATTTGCTTCCCCTTCAAAGTTCCCTCTCCCAGCGCATCCACCTCCCAGTGGCACCTTTAGAAAAATTTGGGGTAATCAAAAATAAAGATCAGCTAAAAAAAGGATGTCTCAAAGTATTACCAAAGGGGGAAATATTTGATTGGGCTGGGGATCGAATCCCTGAGGGAGTAAGGGGGTTGTTCAGCCCCCTTCCAATTCCGCTTCTGCCTGCCATGCAAGTGGCGAGTTATTCTGTGTCATAAACTGAATGTCAATGGACCAGCTGCAGAAACAGAAAAGCAGTTGATAAGGAGCAGATTCTTTTCTTCGACAAAAATTATCTCATATTTGCGTAGTGTGTTACTTCAATGCTATTTTTTTCCCAACCTGCAACGCAAATGTTAATGCTTTTTTCGCTTGGTGGCATGTTTGCAACAGGCACAATTGGGAATTTAATAGGCTGTGCTTTGACGTTCAATTTGTAATAATTTAACACAGTTGGTGCTTTTTTAATTCTTCAATTGAGCTGAAAAAGCTATTTGTTTCATACAGCAGTACAAAAATAAAAACTCGATTTCGAAAATTTTCCAACTCAATAAACTTTGCGAAATTATTTTGGTTGCATTTAGTATCCTTTTTGTGGCATTAATCTGTGCCTACTTACTCTGAGCCTACTACATCTGCGATTAGGAAGGGTATAGCAACCGGGTACTTTTCTTTTTCCCGTAAATATTTTCATTTACAGAAATCATCTGGACTCATCTCCTGGTAGTACCTGGTGGTTTTGCCGGCTTAGTTGCCACATATTAGAACCGTTTTTTTTCTCTGTACGCAATTTTTCTTCTAGTTGGTTTTAGTGTTTCGATTTAATCCTGCAATTTTTTTTTTTTGTGCCTCGTTTTTCTTTTTTTTTTTGTTTTAAAAACTTTATTCGGCCCAAATTATTTTGGCTTATTTTTATCCAAATTTGTCGGCTCAGTTGCCGCTTGATGAATGTTTTCGAATTTTCTTTCCATAAACGCCGTCGATTGGGTGTCTGGACGTGTTTTCCGCAAGTATAATATCATTTCAGGCAACATTTTGAAGCTTCCTTAGTGTTTTTTATTTCGAAATTTTTCATTGTTTTGGATTTAGTGTCTTTGCTTTCCTGTCTGCTAGCTTGCAATGCTATTTTGTGAGGTATCGCAAGTGATGCAAAGCTCCGCTTCGCCTCTGTGTTAAAATATTAAATGTAATAACTGTGTTTTCCCGAAGAAATGCCACCTCTTGTTTTGATTCAGTCTGCTTAAAAGTAAGTATTTTTGAGGATATACTATTTTTCTTTTGACCACTCTCTAAAGAGTGCGTTGGATGTATGGCGTAGGGTCATTTTTTAGTCAATTTTAAAACCTCTAAGAAACTTCACAGTCTTCAACTGTGGTATCATGCTGGTATCGTGAATCGGAGTCTAAAAAGATTTTTACACATGTGAGCTAGCAATGTAGTGTTGTTTAATGAACTCCAACTCGTGTTCATTTGGTGGCAGTTTTGCTGAGCCTTGGCAACTAAATACCATCTGTTGTACCTGGTATATTGATTGCTAGTGTTTGATTTTGTCAAGCGACTATGGCGCAGATGCGAGGACATTAATATTCAACTAGCCGAGTGTTTGAATCTGACACCAGCGAAGAGCTTTGTTTTTCTTGTTTGTAGTTTTTCTTTTTAAATATTTTTGAAGCTAGTTTTCGCCTTTTGTTTGCGAAGCGCAGCTTTGCCTTTTTTTCGTAGTTGAGAAAAACTGGTTTGACTATTTTTGCACTTCAGACAGAATGTCAACTGATTTTCAGATTGGGTTTTACTTCCTCAACGGCACGATTTTCGTTTCACTTTAGCTCATTTCATCTATTTGGAGCTTACTATGAACCCACTACTGTTGCTCTTAGAAATGATGGAAACTTTGAAGAAAAATCAGAATCTGCTTTTATTTGCAATGCAAGCAGGTATTTGCACAGAAAGCAGGCTTAAAATTTTTCTAAGTTTGCGCACACTCAAATTGATTTTTTTGCGGTTTGAATTTTGAGTTCTCATTAGTTCAAGTCTATTTCAGGTGCTAAAAGCATGTCATATTACTTTTTCCAATAACGAATGCAAATTGCGCGAGAAAACGTGAATGCTTTTCAGTTTCGAAAGTGCTCTTTAGTTTTAATTATTACAAGCGGAAAAAAATTAACGAGCGGCCCAAATTTTCTTTAATTTGGTAGGTTTTGCGAAAGAAAAGTTTCAACATAAATAAAACTCAAAGAGTTTTGACGCTATCTTTTTTTTGAAAGTTGATGAAAAAAATCATATCATTTTTTTTTTCGGTTTTCTTGTTCTTTGTCGTTTTTTTTCAACTTTCTCTTGACTATTTTTTAATTCGTGATAAGTGATTTATCAAAAAATGTTCGAATGAAATGAGCTTGTAGATTTTGGTGATCAAAATTTTGGCAAATTACTGTTGAATTTTCTATTTTTTTGAGAATTTAAACCATTCAATCAAACAATTAATGTTAATCGGTGAAAAGGTAGCCTTCTGGATCTCTTTCTTAGTTTTTTGAGAAAATTATGAGAAAGGAAAGACACATATAGTTCTGAGCTTCTTTATTTGTCTGGTAGTGATAATTAAAATGACCAGAAAGCATTTTATATTACCGCAACGTGTCTAACAGTTTAAGTTATTTTTAAAAACTTGCTTTTTTGATCATTTTGATTGAGGATGGTGGACTTTAGGATAATTGAAAGATCCGAAATTTGGACGGCTGTTGTGTCGGTTTTGTGCAGTTCAAGTTAAATTAACTTTAATTTCGCTGCTGCCCGAAACCAAAGTTGCATGATGGCATGTTACGATTTCCAAATTCATCTAAAACTATGTCGATTTCTTTCCCATTCCAGGTGCTATCTGTTTTCTTTGATAGAGGTCTTTTCAGAATTAATTAGAATGGAATACCAATAATTGCTTTGAACTCTTTGTAAACTTTTTGAATCCAAGTCTCAGCACTTATCCTTTTTGCTCCTCTCATATTATTTTGAAAACAATGACAATTTTCCTCCTCGTAATTTTTTCATACGAAAGGACGCGCACTATTCAATACCATTTTGAAATAATTTACAAGAGAATTGAATAAAATTTAAACCAAATAGATCGTTCATCAACCAGGCAAGCGGCAAAGTTTACTGAATTTTTGTGACGAAATTAAATCAATAATTTCATGAATTTATCAGGCAGGTGATGGGAAATATTTAAGAGTTTCATTTCTTTGTTTCCACGTTCACTCAGCTTTCGATTCCTGCTTAAGAATGTTCGTTTTGATCGCCAGTGTTCTGTCTTTCTTGATGTTGAGAATCGTAACGCCGAAGTATCGCATAGCTGAATACTTCGAACAATCAGACAAAAATTTGAATCAGAGAGTTCTTATTTCCCACAGCATTGTTCGTTTTGGAATCGAATGTATCCTAACTTGCCATTACCATCCTCGATGTTTAAGTGCTTCGCTTCATGGAAAAGTTTGTTCAACTTATTCCGAAGATTTTAGAAACTTGGAGGAGTCGGAAGTCTTGAACTCACCTACTCACAAGTTGCTGTCAATGAACAAACTTGATTGCTTTTCGAACAGAGACTCAATTCTGTTTTCTGATGCAATACAAAATAATTGCGAATTAGCTGAAAAAGTTGTCCAGCCGATC